AAGGAGCTGAGTAATCCTGAAAATGCGGCTGTAAGGCAATCTGTGGAAAGTTGGCCTTTCAAGGGCCCTGCTTTGCCTACAGCTTTGACTTTGCATTTTCTCTTGCTGAGAATTAGGTCATTCAAAGTGAGATACTTTAGAGGCAAATGATTTCTGACCTTCCCTGAAATGACACTTCCTTGACATCAAAACTCACAATAATTTAATATATCACTGCGTCTTTATTCTGAATAGCATTCGAGGGTAGAAAGTTCTTTTGGGATCCTAGAATGCTATTAAGGTGCCTTAACCCTTGTGTTGAGAGCATTTACTTGGCTCTAATTTATGAAATGGATCATGGACGCTCTTCAGAGAATGCTACACACATAGGATTCTATTTGTTTCCATATACTTAATTTCTTGCTGATCTAGCCAATATATGTTGAATATAGACCTATGATATACACTTTAATATTTTATTAATTGATATCTTTCAAGAAACCATGTGCCAAATATAAACTTTTAGAGAAAACAAATTGGTAGTGAATGGAATTTAGAGGACTACGTGTTCAATATGTAGAAAGCTGACTGCTACACTAGCATGGTCATTTATTATTTATTGAATTTGCTTAAATAGTCTTTCCAGTGCAATGCTCATAGTAGGCTCATAGTACTCAATAATTAATCAATTTAAAAAATATATCTGGTTCTATCATACTTTGGCTTTATGAACAGGGACACTGCAACCTAAGCATAACCAAATATCCTCATTTCCAGGCACTGGGCAGTGGATCAGAAAGACAGCCCATGCCCAGTTTATTGACTCCTAGGGACGCACAATGGTAAAAGCAAGACATAGTAATTTACAAGTGAAACTGAAGGTTGTTTTTTCCCTTACTTCATCATTTCACGTCAACACAGTAGCTTGTGAGTTGTGTTTGACACAGCCACACTCTGTAACCTATCATCTCCTATCTGGTTCGATTTAAATTACCTTAACTACTCAGAAATATCTTCTGAATTAGATCAACAGACACAGGCATCTATATGGGAAAGTATGAGAGTTTAAAATGTGGTTTGGAAATTGAAATACAGGCAGAAAAAAACTATAAGGTAGTATATAATATCAATTGAATGGAACAGAATATATTGTAACTACAAAATAAAGATAATCTTTTCTTTAACAGTCAAAGTACAATGATCTGATTTGGCCATGAATTTTTATTGAGATGTAATTCGCATAGCATAAGAGTCACCTATTTAAAAGTGTACAGTTCAGGGGTTTTTAGTGTATTCACAGAGTTGTGCAACCATCACCATAATCAATTTTAGACCATTTTCATCAATATCAAAAGAAACCCTATACCCATTAGCAGTCACCCTCATTTCCCCCCATTCCTTTAATCCCACCCCAGCCCCAGGCAACCACTAATCTACTTTCTGTCTCTATAGACTTGCCTATTCTGAATATTTCATGCAAATGGAATCATACAGTATCTGTCCATTCACCAGTTGATAGACATTTGGGTTGTTTCCAGTATTACGAATAATGCTGCTATGAACGTTCATGTACAAGTTTTCGTGTGGATGTATGTTTTCACTTCCCTTGGGTATGTACCTAAAAGTGGAATTGCTGGGTCACATGGGAAGTCTCAGTTTAACCTTTTGAGGAACTGCCAGGCTGTTTTCCAAAGCAGCTGCACCATTTTGTATTCCCGCCAGCGCTGTATGAGGGTTCCATTTTCTGCACATTTTTGCCAACACTAGTTTTTGTCCCTCTTTCTATGATAGCCACCCTAGTGTGTGTGAGGTAATATCTTATTGTGGTTGGCTGTGAGCCTTTTGATAGGTCCATGGCTTTAGGGAAAGAAGTGCGGGGTCGGGGTGAGGAAGATCAGGAGCAAAGGCTTGAGGGAGGAAGCCTCCTCCGCCAGCACGTTGATTGCCCCTGCTGAAGGCCGGTCATTTTGGTCTGCATAAAGGATCTGTGTAGGGAAACAGTGAGGGATGAAACTAGAAAACTCCATCAGAGGGGAAACTGCGTGAAGACGAGCAGAGGGTCCTGCAGGCTGGGTCAATGTGTGCAGGAAATGGTAGAGACATTGAAGGGAGTACTATGATAACGTCTAGCTCTCTGAGAATTAATTCGGACGCACAGAGCATCTTGCACAGGAGAGAGGGACAGATGCTGGAAGCGTTGCATGTGGGTTGGCATCATTGCATGTGGGTCAGTAATCGGATTGGGATGCTGGTTTTGCATAAGAGATGACAAATGAAAACCTAGTGACCCTCAGAGTTCCAGCCTGGGGCCCTGGGAAAATTCTGGTATCCTAAGAGAAATAAGGAAGTTAGGGGAAGAAGCTATTTTATGGGGTGGATCAGGGACCGGGCAATTTTCATATTATAAATGTCAAGTCTGAGGGTGTTTTGGACAGCAGGAGGAATGGAAGGTGGAAAGAAGTATTGGTTAGAACAGGGAGTGACAAACTCCGGTCTGTAGGCCAAAGCCAGAGCACAGTCTGCTTTTGTCAGGCCCAGGAAGAATGGTCTTTACATTTTTAAATGGTTGGGGAAAAAAATCTAAAGAAGAATAATATTTTTGTGACAAGTGAAAATTACATGAAATTCAAATTTCAGTGTTCACAAATGACATTTTACTGGAACACTGCCATGCCCATTCATTTACATATTGTCTATGGCTGCCTTCATGCTGTGAAGACAAGTTGAGTAGTTTCAACAGAGACTATACATACATCTCACAAAGCATAAATATTTACTATCTGGCCCTTTGCACAAAAAGTTTGCCAACTCTTGGGTTAGAGAGAAATTTGGGAGGTGCATTCTCCTCGTCATAATACTTAAAGCTGAAAAGGTAAGTAACCCAAATTGAGAGAGTGTAGAGGAAAAAGCAAGTGGGGCCGGTCCTCCGGGCTGCTTCTGTTTAGGAAACAGAGGGACATAGACGAGTCAGTGAAGACAGTAAATAAGTTTAAGTAAACCTCAACTTAATTAAACATGTCAACTCCCAGACTGTTTTATTGCTTGGTATTTCAAACACACTCCTAAGAGGAAGATTAGCTAATAAAGTCGCAACCTGGGGTCGCTTTCAGCTGGAAGCCGGAGCAACCTATGATGAGAAGTTTGTCTTTGGCAAATCCCCACCTCCAGTCTTTCCCTTCCTCCTCCCACGACACTGTGAGGTGTCTCATTCCTGCCTTACTCAGAAAGGGGTATGAGGAAGAATATTTCACTAAGGTCAATGTTTGATAAAAGTTCAAAGTGCTCTTCCTGCCCTAAAACTTGGATCTTAATAGAGGGACTTGGAGACACTATCAGGAACTCTCAACTCTGGAAATTTCGGGCCCTTGCAAAGGGGCAGACAGGGAGATGTGTAAGAATACCGGGGGGCAGGGGGATCCTTGCACTGTCCCTCCAACCAGGCCAATTGTGTGTGCTAGGTATGCAGGGATTGAACCCACCAGCTTGCCAAGTGGCCCTGGATAAGTCACTTCAGAATTCTGTTTTGGTAACTCATGTGGAAGTAGGGAATAAATTCTAAGTCACTTTTAAACAAGAGGCACAAAAGCATTCGAGTCTCCAGTATTTGCTCGATTAACCACTGCAGACGGGCTATGTCAATAATAATGAAGTTTAGAGGAAAACATGTCCATTAGAGTTACTGGTGAAATTGTTCTTTCCTCTCCTTGGACTCAGCACAAGGAATGGGGACCAGGAAGCCATTCCCAGGAATTACCTTCCCCTCCCACTCTTGAGTACGTGGCAAGGCGACCGCTGTGGCCCAGGCCCAGAGCCATGAGTACTAACCTGTGCCCTTGAAAGCAGGAAACACATTGTCTTCACGACTCTGCTCTCCTGGAGCAAACACCGCAGCTCTTGCAGGAGGCCCCTGTGAGCCCAAATTTAGCAAAGCGTTTGCTCGTCAACCATTGCTCCATCTTACATTTGTTTCTGGGGTTATTCAGGAAGTACTGACTGGTGCCAGTGCCCTGTGAAGTATGTATGTAATAAATTATCCTTCATATCTTTCTACACACACACCCCTACTCGCTTAGCTTATCTTACCCAAGGGCCTAGGAGAGCTACAGAGGAACAACGTTAGCCGACTTTACAACTCTGCTTGGGGAAGTCAGACCCTGGATTCTCCCTCCACCCCCCACCCACTCAAATTAGTATACACTCGGGCTCCTTTTGAGTATGTGCCCATGGCAAGTTCACTGCTGACTGGTAGTTGATGAAAATAATGCCTCAGTGTCTATGCAATATGGAGCCATCAAAACCTTCATAATGCAGGGTAACTGCTGATCTGGGAATGATCTGGTCCACTAAGCATTGACCCCTCCCTTTCATATACAGGGAAACTGAGGCCCAGAGAATGTTAAGTGCTTGTAAAAGGTAATAGTTGAAACAAAATTTGAAATAGAACTCAAGGGGCTGGCCTCGTGGCGTAGTGGTTAAGTTCAGCTTGGTCCACTTTCGCAGCCCAGGTTCACGAGTTTGGATCCTGGGTGTGGACCTACACCACTCGTCAGCCATGCTGTGGGAGCGAGCCACATATAAAGTAGAGGAAGATTGGCACAGATGTTAGCTCAGGGTTAATCTTCCTCAGCAAAAAAAAAGAAAAAGAAAGAAATAGAACTCAAGGCACCTTGACTCACAATCCAAACCATCTTTCTACCAGTCCCAGCTGAGTTCATGCATGTAAAAAACTTGGTAAAAAAAATTATAACACCCATGAAGATGTTAACCGCCATTATTTATTGTTACTAATTATAAATGACCCATCTTTCAAGATGCCTCTGACAATATCTTGCCAGAGACATTTCTAATCCCACCCTAAGAAACAATCTCTGAGACCCAAGGAGCCACCAGAGACCCACATCCGGAGGGGTGAGGGAGTGAGCAAAGGGCAGGCTGTGGAACGTAATTTTGCAGGAAGAAATTTTTAAAAAATCTTTAGTGCAAACCCCTCCAGCTCTGTGTGATTTTGTGCTTTTGTTTAGGTTAAACTAGGAAAAACACCAAATTCTTGATTGTGAGGAATTTTTCAACAGAGAATAAAAGACCATAAATGCCCATGAGCCACCCTGCCTCGGAAAGCCAGAGAGCCCCTGGATTAAAGTTTGCAAATTAGAGGATGAGTCGAAACATCTGAAAATGGGTGACAAGGCAAACTTTATACAACAAACGACAGAGCTATGTAACTACGTGAAAATAGAGAAATAGCTGGATAAAAAGAGCCATGTGAATGATGGATGGACGCACAGATGGATGCATGAGAAGGAAGGAAATAAGGAAGAAAGGGAGAAAGGAAGGAAGAAAACAGACCAAAATGTTGTTGTAGTTGATCTCCGGGTGGCAGGTAATTTTAATTTTCCAACTTTTGCTTCTCTGTATTTTACATATTCTTGTATTTTATAATCAGTAAACAACAACAGTAACTCTAGTAATAAAGGCAACATTAAAAGGGTTGCTTGACAATGGCAAACACAAACCCCTTCAAATTTCTAACTGCTTCCCAGCAATTCTGCTTTCCCTGGGGCTCTGCCCGGTTCCTCAGCAACATTGAGGTTTCAAAAAATCCCACTTGATTGAAGTCCAGACCACATCTAAGATTGAACTCCGTAGATTTAAACCTTTCTCTGATCTTTTTGGCAACTTTTACTTGCTGGAGATAAAATGACACCAACCCACTGTTTCATTTTCCTGTAGATCCAGCCACAGCAATCCAAGGCCTGGCTCTGTCATTTGGTTTCTGTCAGTACTGGTTCAATTCACCCATGTGAAAATGTCTTTGAAACGAGGACCTCCACTCAACACCTCCGGGTGAACTTTAGGGCCTTGATTGAAGAATCTGAAACCACTTGACAAACTTAATTTGAATCGCAAAGAGCTGCTGGCCCAAAGCCAAGACTTATCTCTTAGCCCTGAGAAAATAGCTGTTTTGATATGTTAATCATTTAGCTAGTAAGAGCTCTCTGCTGTTTTATCTTTCATCTACCAATTGCTTAACAAAATTCCTCTACAGTACTTTAATATTATTTTTTAACTTTACAGTACTCTTAAGGCTAAAATATATAATATATATCCCAGCTACTAAAAACGTTGAGAAATAATAAGCTTTGACTCAAACAAATGTGAAAACAGGAGAAGGAAAGTTTAGTGACATTTGGATGTAGTTCATTTTTAAACCCAGATCAAAAAAGGCTACTTATACTGGGAAAAATATATGTTGTCCAGCATGTTCTGGAAAATTCATTTTAGGGCTTTGGAAACACTTAGGTGGAATTGTAGGAATCTCTGAGAAGCATGAACTATAATTTTTTTTTTAACTTCAGTAGAATTTGTGACATTTGTGTTTAATTGTGTTTGGTTTCAGAGACTGAAACAACAGATATTGTAATTTTCTTTTTTTGGGGGGGGGGAAGATTAACCCTGAGCTAACTACTGCCAATCCTCCTCTTTTTGCTGAGGAAGACTGGCCCTGAGCCAACATCCGTGCCCATCTTCCTCTGTTTTATACAGAACGTGTGCACTTAACCACTACGCCAACAGGCCAGCCCAGATATTGTAATTTTTAAGCATGTGTTTTTATCTCTAATATGTGCTAGGAACTCTGCCATTATTATAAGAGAATAAAAGTTGAATAAGATTTGGCACAGTGACTGGCACCTTATAGAGGAGCAATTAATAATTATCCAATTAATGGATGACTAAAATCTGGTCTTATTTACATACAATTGAAAGTGTTACGCAACCCCATTAGGAGTAGGGTTTTAAGATTTTTATATCAGATTACTGGAAGTCTTACAAACCACATAATTCCTTGTAGGAGATATTCTAACTGTATCCATATTCAACTATGTTTTAATGAATATGAGTGTCTATGATAAAGAGATCTTAATATAATAGTATTAACAATAATACCATCTAGCATTTATCAAATGCTTACTTCTTGGAGAGTACAGGTTTACCTGTTTTCCTTTATATCTTGTTTAATCCTCACAATCGGCAGGGTTTTTTTTTTTGAGGAAGATTAGCCCTGAGCTAACATCTGCTGCCAATCCTCCTTTTTTCTTGCTGAGGAAGATGGGCCCAGAGATAACATCTGGGCCCATCTTCCTCTATTTTATATGTGGGATGCCTGCCACAGCATAGGTTGGTAAGTGGTGCCTATGTCCACACCTGGGATCTGAACCTGCAAACCCTGGAGCCACCAAAGCAGAGCGCATGAACTTAGTGCTATGCCACCAGGCCGGCCCCACAATTGGCATTTTTATTGTTATTGTTGTTACAGATGAGGAAATTGTAGCACAGAAGGTTAAGTACTTCCCAGCACCCAGAGCTAGACAGCGTTGAGGGCAGGAATCAAAACAAGGATTCAGATTTCAGGCTGCAAAGCCGCTTTGCCTCTACTGTACTACTTCTTGTAAAAATGCTAGGAAACCTGATTTGTAAGGCAACTTGTTAGCCTTAGTTTAGACTTTTTGAGTATGATTTAAATGATAAATCATACAGTCGATGTTATGTCACAGGAAGCTAACTCTGTCAGCCATGTGGGACATGGACTGGAGTTACGGGAGCCTGGGGGCTGGTTGGCCGGCACATGACTGTTACAGTTAACGCAAGGGACAGAGGATAAGGGCTTGAGGGGAGAACTTGGAGGGTATGGGGCGGATTCAAGCGATAATTCCAGCAGGATTTGTTAAATCCATGGAAAAGGGGAAGAGGAGAGCGTTTAACATTATTTTGAGGTTTTTAGGGTAGACTCCTGGGTCGTGGTGGTGCCATTTCCACGAGGAGTTTGGAAACTGGGCAGGAGGAGGGAATTTGGGGGTGGTGGGTGCAGGGTGGCCGGTAAGGAGCTTGGTTTGGGAGGTGTGTCTTTGGGAGTGAGTCTCCACAGAGAGGCGGGCTGCACAGAGGGCAGCTGGAATACAGCCCTGGGGGTTAAGGGCCGTGTTGCCTGCAGAGTGGAAATTGTCTGCTCCCAAACAGCACACATGTCAGAAATTAGAAGGGCATGTCTATTAAATTGTATAGTTTTTAAAAATTTTAACTTTCAATAACTCTAGGTAGGAAACCAAACTAAATGCTAGAATTCAGTGCACTTCTGCCAATTTTTGTTCAGAAACAATGAGCTGCTTTCCATCAGCTCAGTCACACAAAAGCCTTTCCTGGTTTCGCCTGGATCGTTTATGCCCTTCCTTCCCAGACATGTCCACTCTCCCAGATTTAAATAAAATTCCTCTCCCAAGGGAAGGTAGAGTTTTAACGTCCCAAGGCTTGCCTGCTGGCTACTCTGTGTCCTCAGACCCTCTGTTGCTGTATTATGGTATCGTGTAATCTGGACTTAAATTTAAAATTACAGTGTAGGTTGCAGCTGTAGCCTGGGGCTTTGTGCAAAGCCTGCCACTCAGGCCCTTTCCTCCATGACATCATCGCTTTTCTATTTACAGAGAGCTTCACTTTTACTTAAGACGAGTAACAAAAGAGAACAATGGGCACTGGCAGCAGTGACGTCTTGGTGTGGAGAAATCAGCAACCAGCCTCAGACGGGCAGACTTCCTTATCCTACCAGGAACTCGCAGAAAGGAACAGTTTCCATCTTCCACTTTAAAGGCAAAAGAGCAGTTTTGACCCTATGTATATATCACAGTGCATTCTGGCTTCTACTGGGGCAGAAACTTCCCCGAAACCCTACAAGGGCAGCTGTTTCTCATTAAGAAGAATCCATCCCTGATGAAGGTGATAATAATGTTTCCAGGGACGCCTGTTCCGGGTGTCTCTCTGCAGTGAACTTGTGAACTCTTTGACTTCCTGCTCTAAGAGGAAGTCTGCTCTCTGAAGTGCTCTGATGTTTCTCCTCTCTTTACCCAGCTTTTCAGTTGATTGTGGAGACTTTCCAGAGTTTCCATTCGTTTTGCCCCTATCCCGCTGTCTCAGCAACCTAGTATGAGAGGGAAAAAACCACTAGTATTTTTACAATCCATGTGAAGATATATCAAGCCAGCCATTCACAGCTGAATTTCCACATAACTCCATGGGTTTGGCAGAAGAACAAATGTCAAATTTTGGCAAACATTTTTGGCATAGTCCACACTGTGATATAATAGCAAGGCCATTAAAAGGTTAAAATATTTGTATCTTGGGTAGGCATAATACATCTTTAATCTCTAAACATCCCTTACCGTGTAGCTCGTGGTTTGCTACCCTCAATGTCTACTCCCACTGCATCTCTCTGCAGGGGTCTTCTGAGGAATGATCAGTTAATAAGGCCACAGGAAGTCTAGCTATACTTGTCACTTTCTCTGGATCAGGAAATGAGGCCTTCTTCTAGCAAAGAATAAGTGACTCAAGATGGGGAGCAACAAATTGAGAATAATTGAGAAGTCTTCTGTTGACAGACACAGGATTTATCAGTTTAAGGACTAGTTGTCCTTTCAATCCTGGATAAATTCCCATCTGGCTTGAGTAGTATGGACTGTTTTTATTTGTTTGTTTGCTGGAAAATAATATAGATATGACTGAGTTTTTAATAAGCCTCAATACTTGGATAAGTACAGAATGTGACAAGGTTGAAGATGCTGTAAATCATTCCCAATGAAGGAAAGGAGAGAAGGACAGGTGAACCTGAGTTCAAAGGCAACACACAACTTCCAAGAACTCTTTGATGGAAGACCTCTTCTGAGAGAGGAAGATATTTACAAATGAGGAGAAATATTCTATAATAAGAGTGTGCACCATACAGTATAGGAGGATAGAGAAAGAAATGACTCTTTCTATGGCTCTGTAGGGGAGTCAGTGGAAGCATTTGGGCTAAATGGTGGATGAGTAGGATTTGCCAGAAGGGGAATGGGTGAGAGAGAATTCCCTGCGGAAGGAACAGCATACGCAAAGGCACAAAATTGTGAAGAAACAGGGTGTGTTCAGGGAAAGCCTAGAATTTGAAATGGTTTCAGTATAATATACATGGGAAGTTGGCCATGAAGGATCATGTTGAATTTTATCCATTGATCAACTAATGATGGCTGTGGTTGTTTTGTCCTATATATGTTGATCAGGTTATCTATTTTTTTTTGGATTTTTATGCAAATGGAATAGCTCAGAATTACCAGAATAAAAAATCATGTAAACATATTTTAAAATCAAATAGTGCAAAAAACTTATAAGAAAAACAAGAGTTCTTTGCCCCAGCCTTCCACATCCTCAGTCCCGTTCCCCAGAAGCAGCCATAGTCAACCTTTTGGGAGAACCATGTCTACCTTCCACCAAATGCTTGATCCTTATCTACCATAATATAAAGTCAGTGCAATATGTCTAAAAATTAGACTAGAGCTGTCCCAGTTCTCCCAATTGTGGTATCACAATTTTTGGTTAAATCAATATTTACATTATTACATATTTCCCCTTGAGTCAAAATTATATTATTTTCATTTGTTTAGTTTTTATGTACTTCTTGCTAATTCTCCTCATATATTCCAACATATGTATGCTCCAAAATGCAATATAATATCTCAGATTTATTTGTTTATCATTTATTTTTTTCCCTTGGTGACATCCTTTCTGGAATCTTTTGTCTTCCTGCTTCAGTCTGAGCTGGTTGCTTTCGAGACTTGCTGTATGACTATCCTCCTAGGATTTCTTCCTCCTACTCTTCTGTGTTGGATCCCCTGATTCCCTGATCGCATATGTAGTAGTTTTAAAACACAGCTGAAAATGCTTTGACACTCTTCCCATCAATGGTAGTATCTATGTCCCCTCCTCTTGAATCTAGGTGGGCTTGTGGCAGCTTCAAACACTAGAGGATGGCAGACGAGATGCTACATGATTTTTGAGGCTGGATCAGAAAAAGCCCTGAAGCCCTGCCTTGTTCACTGGGAACACTTGCTCTAAGAGTCCTGAGCTTCCATGTACTAAGTCCAACCACTCTGAGACCGCTGCTGGAAGAATACATGTAGATGCTCCAGTAGACGGTCCTACCTGAGCCTGTCCTTCAGCCATCCCAACCCGGGGGCCAGACACGTGACTGAAGGACCAGCGTGGAAGTAGATCCTTTAGCTCCTGCTGTTCCAGTCTCCAGCCATTTGAGTTACTCTCAGGAATGCGAGTCATTCCAGCTGAGACCTCAGATATTGTGGAGGAGAAAAGAGCTATCCTTGCTGTGTCCTTTTTGAATTCCTGACCGCATAATAACTTTTTTATGCCACTACATATTTGGGTGGTTTAGTGCACAGCAAAATATAACCAGCAAACCATATTTTCTTTCCTTCCTTCCTTCTTTCCTTCATTGTTTTTGTTTGTTTGTTTATTCTCTTCTTTTGGTAGAATATATCCACCAGTGTTTTTCTGAGAAAGAATATATGGGAGGTAAATTTTTGAGTATTTTTCTATCTGAAAATGTTATTTTAACCATTCATTTGATTGATGCTTTGACAGCTTATAGAATTTTTATTTAACCTTTTAAGATATTACTCCTTCGATTTCTAGTATCCTATGTCCCTATTAAGAGAAACAAGGTCAATCCAATTCCTGATCCTTTGTATGTTATCTGCCCACATTCATCCCTCCCGAGAAGGTTTTTATTTTTTTTAAAAAAATTTCTCCATTTGCAACAATGTGGCTGGACCTTGAGGGTATTATGTTAAGCAAAATAAGCCAGACAGAGAAAGACAAACACTGCATGATTTCACTCATATGTGGAAGATAAACAAACACAAGGACAAAGAGAACAGATTAGTGGTTATCAGAGGCGGGGGAGGGTGGGTGAAACGGGTAAAGGGGCACGTTTATATGGTGACAGATAAAAATTGGACTATTGATGGTGAGCACAATGCAGTCTATACAGAAACTGATAAATAATAATGTACACCTGAAATTTCACAATGTTATAAACTGTTATGACCTCAATAAAAAAAAAGTTCTCTTGGTATGAAATTTCACAATGCCTGGATGTTGCTCATGTTTCTATTTATTTTTGCTGTATTTATTTTGCTCTCAGTGAGTTTTAATCTGGAGACCCTTCTGTTTTAGAATATATTTACATACTATGTGTGGGGGACTGGCATTGGCCACCCCAAGATATGTCTCTTTGGCATGAGGATTATTTGGGGCTGGGTACTTTTAATAAACTGGGACAGGGAAGGAGGCTCTGAGGAGTGGAAATTGCTTACTATTTGTTAAGAAACATTTACATTTGTAAGGGAAACCTCCATCTGTAAAGTTGTCTCCCTCTCTGTACCAGGAAGAAGGGGGATGACCTTATCTCTAGAAACTCTTAATCAATACAGAATGCAAGGACTTAAATCTGCATAATAATCTTATTCCTGTTTCTGGTAACCTCCTGTAACTGACTCCCCCCACCCCCAACATCCTCCTTTGTCTTTAGCTGGATATGATATTTAAGGTGGTGGCTTCAGCCATTTTGGCGAGTTGCTCAGTTTGCCTGAGCCTCTCCCATGTATACATGTTATAAAGCTTTGTTTAATTTTCTCCTGCTATTCTGTCTCATGTGAATTTAATTTGTTCTCCAGCCAGACGAACCCAGAGAGGGTAGAGGAAATGTCTTCCTCCCCAACATATGTTATGATTTTCTTCCTCTGCTTTCCCTATTCTCTATTTCTGGAACTCTATTAGGTTGTGGACCTCCTAGATAGCTTTTTCTTATCCTTCCTCATATTTTCCATTTGTTTGTGTTTTCTTCTCCTTTGAGCCACTTAGTTGCACAACTTGATGGGCACTAGGTCATGTAAACGGTTTTCCGTGACGTTGTTCAATAGGACAGTATAGCTGGAGATAACCTTGCCTTTATTGTCTAATCCTTTTACTGAACTTTTCATTTGGGCTATAAAAACATTTTTCTGTTCCTTTTAACATATCCTAATCTTGTTTCATGTATACAGTCCTGTGCCACATAATGACGTTTTGGTCAATGACAGACCACATATATGACAGTGGTTCCATAAGATTAGAACATATAGCCTAGGCGTGTGGTAGGCTATACCATCTAGGTTTGTGGGAGTAACTCTATGATGGTTGTGCAACGATGAAGTCACCTATTGTCACATTTTTCAGGACGTATCCCCGTCCTTAAGCAACGCATGATTGTAATCTTATTTCATGTTTACTGTCCCTTTATGGTTCTGAGAACATTAATTTTAGTTTCTTTAAACTTTTTCTTCTTCCTGATTTATCTTTGTCTCCTACAAGTTCCTTTATTTGTGTGTGTTGGGTTTCTTTCATGTTGCAGGCTTTCCTTGGTTGTATGTTCATGTTTAAGGCTAAAGCATGGAAAAGAAAATTAGAAGCCTTGTGAACAGAGGTGGGGCTTGCTGACAGTTGACTTTCACTGTGGAGGGTGGAGTGATTTTCTGTTGAGTTAGAGTTAATGTTGGTAGATCTCTAGATATTCACATTTATAGAGTTAGTGTTTATGGATAAGTGTCTACAGATATTTGTATCTCTAGATCTCTGAGACATTTTCTTTCTCCCTTTACCACTCCACAATTTGTTATCCGACTTCCAAAAAATGCTGGTATCTGCATTAAGGAGCTACTGCTATAGCCACGAACACCTCCCAAATCTCAATGGCTTACAACAGCACTTTTTTGGTCTTAAGTTACATGAGGGCTGTTGCTCTGCCAGGCTCTGCTGGGCTTGGCTCCGTGTGTTTTTGAAATCCAGGACTCGGCCTTAAGAGCAGACACCATCTGGGGAATTTTGTTCTCCTGGTGAAGGACAGAAGCACAATGAAAAGAACTGAACCACAGAAGGGCAGTAAAGCTTCTGCTCAGACATGTCTTATGCATTATTTGCTCACATTGCACTGGCCCGAGTCAACTGGCCGTGCCCAAAGTACACAGGGTGAAGTATTTCCATCTATAGGAAAGCAGAGCAAGTACAGGCAGAGAACAAATAATTGTGAACAAATAATAAAACCTACCACATTATCTCATGCTGACTGGTTTCACTTTTCCTCTTCTCTATATCTTTGTGAAGTTTTATTCTTTTCATCTTTTACCCTCATTTTAATGAGTGTGTGGGAGGATTAGTGATAAATGTGAGTGTTCAGTCTTTAACATTTAACTCAAAGTCTGCTGTTAATTTAAATTCTACGTGCTATTCATATGGTTGGGCCAAACTTAGTGTTTATCAGAAACGACTCTTGTATAAAAAAGGGAAATAAGGATCCACATTCATATTTGTTTGGTTGAAATTCTGAAAAAAAACCATATGCACAGAAGAATGGTATTTACCTGGGGGTGGCCGTGGGCAGTAAGAACTGGGATGTGGCAGACAGGAGTGCCAGGGAACTTTCTGCTGCATAACAATGATACATTCTTGTTTACGCACCATGCAAATGTATTTCCTCCTCAGAAAGGTAATTTGCCAGTGAAGTCTAACAATGCTAAACCTTAGGAGAATTAACGTAAATTTTCAATATTGTCATGGCTAGACTAGCAGATCAAGTTGGCTCTCTTCCCCAAGGCTGTGAACAATGTAATATCTTTCTGTTACCCAAGTCCAGTTGCCTGATATATAAAGTGAAAGTGTTTCATTTAATCTCAAATGCCCTTCCTCTTTCCTATTGATGATTTGAATTCCTTGCGGGTGAAAAATAGATTTTCCAGTCACAGTAGAGAAGTAAATCTTTTGCTAAACGAACTCTCATTACTCTGGAAGTATAGTTGGCCCTCCATATCTGAGGGTTCTTGGAGCCCAGAGCTCTTTAAGCAGTCCATATACTCCAGGCAAGAAATCAAAGAATTCTCAGGAATTGCTGATCAGCCCAAGAAAAATACCAAGAGAACTGACAGCTGGGAATCCCCCAATTGAATGGCTCAAACAGAACATCCTATATTCAAATCTGCAAGGAACGAAAAGACTTACTCATACGTGGATTTTCCAATCCTCCTTACTCTGAAATATGAACAGTCAAAGGTCACCAGATATTTGAGGGAAGCCTATAACACAAAAGATAGAGACCAACGGGGCTGGCCCCGTGGCATAGTAGTTAGGTTCGGTGCACTCCACTTTGGTGGCCCGGGTTCATGGGTTTGGATCCCGGGTGTAGACATACACCATTTGTCAGCCACGTTATGGTGGTGACCCACATATAAAGTAGAGGAAGATTGGCACAGATGTTAGCTCAGGGCTAATCTTCCTCAGCTAACAACAACAGCAATAACAAAAAAGAGACGAAAACAAACAAGGAACTTAGAAGAAACAGAGACAGTGCAGGAAGCAGAAAATAAGAATACTAACAAGCCTACGATTAACATTCTCAAAGATATAAGAGAAAATATTGCATTCATGAAGCAAGAAGAGCACCTTATAGAAAAGGGCCATTCACTGAAAGCTCAGAAGTTAAAGGCATAAAAGCAGAAATTAAAAATAACAGTAGAAGTTCCGGAAAGTAAAACTGAGGAAATCTTCCAGGAAGTAGAACAAAAACGTAAGGAGATCGAATGTGAGAGAGAACAGATAAGAAAATCAGATGAGCAGCCCAGGAGATCCAGCACTAAACGGCAACCATCCCAGAAACTAAGGACAGAGAAAACGTTAAGAGAAGAACCCTTCAAGAAAATATTACAAAATTTCTGCCAGAACTAAAGAATATGAGTCTCCAGACTGAAAAGGCTCCTCTAAGTGAGCAGCATAATGAAAGAAAACCGACCCAAACCGACACACATCATTATGAAATTTTACAGCAACAGAGTTCAAGATTCTAAACATTTCCACAGGGACACGGTTATAAAATAGATCGTATAACGGCACAAGGAATACACGTCACATTAGTCTTCTCAGTAGCAACCTGGAAGACTCAGAGAGACAGAGCTTCAAAATCTTGCGTGGAAATCATTGGTTCTGTACCCTACAATCAGGTGATCAAGTGTGAGGATAAGAAAAATATGTTTAGACCTGAAAGTTTTAGAAAATTTCACCTCCTCTTTCTTTCTTTGAAAGCTCCCAGGGGAGGAGCGCAACCAAAATAACGTAAAACCAAGAAAGAGGAAGTTATGGGACTTAGAAATTGCTGACCTTACACAGGAGGAATGCAGACAGTCCCCAAGATGATAGTGGAGGAAGGTTCTAGATGGCTGATGTGCCCCAGGCCCACAGTACGAGTCCAGACTGATGGCTGATATTTTGTGTTTGAATATATTGAAAGAAGAGTTTTCTTCTAACAGAGATCTGAGGGGACAAATCATTGGTAGATCCATTTATTTGACTTTTTAGTTTTCTCAGAGTTATGTATGCACAAAGCTACACATGAATAGTTCATCAGAAACATCATTCCTCTGTCCTCCCTGATCCTACATAGTCTGTCTTCCCAGAGGGAGCCATTTTCAAATCTTCTGGCTGTTTCTTCTGGTATTTAATTCCACACTGCAAGCAAAACAAGAATAACACGACAAAAACAAGACCCTGATTATTTGGCTGAAACAGGTGTTATCTGTTCATTTCCTAATAAGGAAATTCTCTGCTCCTCCCCTTTCCTTCTAATATAATTACACAATAAATTTTTATCCATCAGTACTCTCTGTCTCTCTCTCTCTCTATATATATATTTTTTTTACTGTAGATTTGCTTTCATTTACAGGCACTTCTCTTTGCCTCTTTCAGCTTCCTGAAGAGTAGACTACAAAATGAATTTTTCAGTGTAAATCATA